GATAAAAGATCCATAAAGCAAGGATGTCTGTCTGTCTGGCTTACCACTCAGTGCCTAGAATAGATCTGGCATATAATAAATATTCAATAAATGTTTAATGAATGAATGCTTCTATTATCAGCACTGTTTAAGAAGAATTGAGTGTTAGACCTGGACTGAAATCCAGGCCTCATCTCTTACCAGTTGTATAATTTTGGGCAAATCCTAAACCTTTCTGAGACTTTATTTACTTCATAATATAAGACAGGGACAATGAGAACAAGCCCAGTCCCTGGAATACAGGTCTGAGTAAATGGTCTTCCTCATTTTCATCATGATGATTGCCCTATTATCACCATCATTGCCATCCTCATCACCATCCTAGTCTACTATACCATCTACATCATCTAATCCGCTCCCAAGGCAGACTCTTGCCACCTCTGCCTTAGGGAAGACTGATTAATGAACCTAGAAACAGCTCCTATTAAGTTTCATTTTGGCCTCCTCCACTAAATGTAGCTTTTCCTTTTCTCCTGTCTCCTTTGTGGAGAACACTGTGGACCAAAGGAAAGCTCATTTATTTATCAACATCTCCAAAAGCCTACTGTGCTCCAGGCACAATCCTAGATGTTAGCAATCAAGAGATGAATCAGTTTTGACCCTTGTCCCCTGTGGAACTCACAAGTTTAAAAGCAGTTTCAAAGCAGTGTGGCAAATGTTATGAATAGCAGAGTTTTCATAACCCTGAGTGAGCATGCCAGAGCCTAGGTGGGAGGGAGGTGAACACAGCCTCTTGACAAGTCAACTTCATGAACTTAAACCTCACAATCCAACTGAACAAGGTCAGGAAGGACACTATAGGTAAAGGGAACCTCAAGTGTAAAGGCCAGGAGGCCAGGGCCAGTGTGACCAACCGGGTAGCCACACTCAGGGTGTAGAGCACAGACTTCAAGTGGAATGGAAAAGTAGGCCTGGGTTAAATCAAGCGAAGGATACTGTAGCTATGTTAAGAAGTTTGGAGACTTTGGGATTTTCAATTAGGGAGTGATCCAATCAGATGTGCATTTTAGCCTCTAAGAACGATGCTGTCAGTGCAGACATGTTTGAAGGCGTGGTGGCCTTCAATAATCACTTCTGTTCTTCCTGTTCACATTTTTTCTTTTGAAAACTCCAAAGGCTTGTCTTTTAATACAGCATGCTAGGTCTCCGTGTGGCAAAGCAGTTTTGAAGGTTTCATGGCTTTGTTGGATAGCTGGTCGCCATATAAAGTGAGCTTAGAGAATATAAATCACCTGTTGCAATGAGCCTATAACATAAGTCTTTTGATATTTTCTTGTAAATGCGGCTTTCTTTTTGTTGGCAGTCTTAGAATATTCTGCTATCGCATAATTTAGTCTTTTCCTCTTTTCAAAGAAGCTCCCCAGTGACACTCATTTTTTTATTCATTTTGGCTAGAGTTAGCTTGTGAGCTTGCCAAAACTGTGACTGAGATAAACTCACAGTGTGGAAAAGAGGCAGAGACAGAAGTGGTAAATAAAACACGGGCAGGCCATGCATGGACTAAAATAAGTGTCGGATTCTGACTTAAAGTCTGCCACCAAAGGTGCAATTATACAATTGAAGAAATTCACCTCACTTGCCACTATAAAGTCTGTCCCCAGATGCAGCTTAATTGTCTCTTGCCACTCACTGATAGGGTTTTGATGAGTCTGCAAGCAATTGATTTATTAGGATCTTGGCCTCATCTCATCAGGCATTAGATTCTCAGAAAGAACACACAACCTAGACCCCTTGCATGTATAATTCACAGTAGGGTTTGTGCTCCTATGAGAATCTAATGCCATCAGTGACATGACAGAAGGTAGAGCTCAGGCAGTAATATGAATAATGAGGAATGGCTGTAAATACAGATGAAGCTTTGCTTGCTCACCCACTACTCACCTCCTGCTGTGTGGCCCAGTTCCTACCCCTGATCTAGAAGATGCCACAGTGGTTCAGGGAGAGAATGATGAGGTCATAACTACAGCAGTTGGCGGGGGGAATGGGGAGGACTGGAGATTGCAGAGGGCTTTGGGAGGTAGTTTCAATAGGACTCAGTGAGAGATTAGAGATGAGACTAGAAAGGAGTCAAGAATGATCTAGGATTTCTGACTTGGACATTATAAAGATAGCCATGCTTTCAATCAAGACAGGATGTGAGAAAAAGCAAATCAAGTAAAGATGCTGAGGTCTATTTTGGACACATGTGACATTAAGATGTGTGAAATATTCAAGAGAAAAGAGGCCTCTGAGTGTTGGTTCTTGAACCTGAAGTCCTTGGAGAAATGAGAAACTGGGCAGCGGCTAAGGATTTGATAGTTACCAGGACAGTATTTCCCTGGGACAATATTGGAAAGACCTTTTTGTAAAGAGCCATTTACTCCTGGAAAAAAAAAAAACTTTTATAATGTTCGTCTTAAGAGATTTGTTTTTCCAAAGGTCATTTTAAAGGGTCTGCCAGCTTTCGAGAATTCATTTTTATTTAAACTGCATATTTGAAGGAATCAAATTTTCAAATGAAATGAGTTTGAGTGTCTTTTAGATAATATCTCTGCTGGTGTTCACTGAATTGAAATACCTACTGGTGGGAAGACTTTAAAGTATTCAAATTGGTTGTTATTAGGTAAAATTAAAGATTATAAAATGGATTGGCTCCCTTCATAGCCCCAGGCGCAATGTCAATCCCTAAGTTATAAAACGTCAACATCCCAAAGAACCATGATCTTGCCCTTCTGCCCTGATTAAAGCAGAGTGGTCGTGGACAGAGTCCTGCATTCTCACACAGATAGGATAGGTTACCCAGGCTTGTCCACCTGCTGTGTCATTTTGGAAGCATAAATGAGTGTTGTGGTGTGTGCATGCAAAGTGTGTGGCTCTAAATCCTTCAATATCTCCACTGGTGGTCCAGGATTCAGGGATTAAGGTTACAGCAAAAAAGAGAAGACGGCTTAGACGGCTGACCTGTGCAAACCATTAACTCACAAGCCACAGCAGGTAGAGCAGCCGTAGAGTTCTCAATTCTTCCCTGAGAAAAGAACCATGAACCAAATGTCCAAGCGGTCACCCAAGTCTTGAGGTGGATGAGGGAGGTAGGGAACCAGCTGAAGGAGTAGTTCAGTAAGGTGGAAATTATGTCCTGCTCATAGGCTCCTATAAAGAAAATGGTCCAAGCTCGATCTCACCTAGGTCTTGCTCCATGGGCTTGAAGCAAAATCAGGTGTGCATTCTGACTCTTTGAAGGAAACAAACCATTAACAGCCTGAACTGGATGGAGGTCAGAGGCTTGGAATTATTTTGATAGAACTTTACACAATAGGCACACTTCATGTTCAGTTCAGTTCAGTTCAGTTGCTCAGCCGTGTCCGACTCTTTGAGACCCCATGAACCGCAGCACACCAGGCCTCCCCATCCATCACCAACTCCCGGAGTTTACCCAAACTCATGTCCATTGAGTCAGTGATGCCATCCAACCATCTCATCCTCTGTCATTCCATCACTTTCATCAAGAGGCTCTTTAGTTCTTCTTCACTTTCTGCCATAAGGGTGAAAGTTGGAAGGAGGCAAAATGACCCAATTAGATTTTCTCTCCTGGGAACTACGAAGGTTAAGGGCACAAAAAGGATGTTTTTGTTGTATGTTGCTATGAAGTGGCTGCATACATCAGCTGAGGAAGCAATGGGATCCAGGGTAACTGAGCTGATACTGTCACTGGCACAAAATGCCTGCTGATGCAAAGCCCACCCCACTGAAGTGGTGTAACTCAGAGAGAATGTATCAAATGAGGAGAGACAGGAGTTGAGGAAGGGGCTGGGAGGCCTGAATTTCAGGCAGAAGGCACAAACTCAGATGCTAGAGGAGTGAGGCAGGGGTGTGACTATGTGGGGCTGGCCGACTAGGAATGCGGCAAACAGACAAGTGTGTTTTTTCTGATCACAAGGGGGAAATTGTCACTCACCTGCAGCCAACTGTCACATCATAGGAATGTAAGCCAGGGCTTCCAGATCTTTTGGTTTTTCAAGAGCAGATGTAAATTGAATTTCAATTATGAAATGTCCCCAAATAGGGAGGCAAATAGTGGCAGTACACCAGGTAATTATGAGGAGTATGTGAGAACACTTAGTGGGGCTCTAGGGACAGTTCCTGCCACACTCTAAGTGCTTGCTATGTGAAAGTTGTTATGAACATCCATTCCATCCTGTCTCAAAGCACAGACATGGATCTGTGTCAATGTCTCAGGAAAAAGAAGTCTGTTTCCTCCATCAAAATGCCTGCTGATGCAAAATCTGAAGAATAAAAGTAGGCATGCAAAATTCAGATGAAAAAGCTGATGATCTAAAAATCTTCCTTGAGACAGTGCCCATAACTGTGTCCCAGCAACTTACAATATTATTTAGCAACTTAACAACTTATTTTGTCTTTACAATAATCCAATGTGGTGCTTGTGTTTATACCCATTTTACAAAGGAGAAAACTAAGGTTCGGAATGGTAAAGACACCTGAAGGTAAATCCTGGCTTCTTGCCTTCAGTGGAACAGAGGAGCCAGATACAAATCAAGACCGAAGAGGCGAAATAGCGTCTTGCAAATGACTTAATTTCTCTGGACCTAAGTACTCTCATCTGGAAATTAAGGATGATGCTATTTTTTAAATTATTATTGAAATGTGTTCTCATGTATTTGCGCTAAGTTGCTCCTGTTGTGTCCACCTCTTTGTGGACCCCATGGACTGTAGCCTGCCAGGCTCCTCTGCCCATGGGATTTTTCAGGCAAGAATACTGGAGTGGGTTGCCATTTCCCTCTCCAGGGGATCTTCCCAACCCAGGGATCGAACCCACGCCACTTACGTTTCCTGCACAGGCAGCCAGGTTCTTTTCCACCAGCGCCACCTGTTTAGCAATACTTAAAATTCCTCTGGCTGCCAGAAGAAAGGGGGCAGGTCTCAGCCCACCCATCACCCATTGCCCAGGAGTGGGGGACACTCACGGAAGAGCACCATCAGGAAGCGCGTCTCGTTCAGCATCTGAGTCAGGCCAGCAGGTGTTAGCACCATCAAGTTTCCCTCCACAAGGATATGCAAGGGCTGGGACATGTTAATGACCTCCTTCTTGCCATTCATCTTTGGTGAGCCCTGGACAGTGCCGACACAAGAGGCTACCAGCAGGAGAGACATCCAGAGCAGCACCATGGCTGTCCTTCAAGGGCAGGAGAAAAAACAAGAACTCTTATCACCATGGGTGGTGGGGACCCACATCATCACTCCCTCCCCATCTCCTTTCCTGAAAGGTCAGTCCTGATGTGGAGAACATGGCCTGGGCATGCCCCACTGGCTTCCTAGCAGTGCCCAGAGCTCAGCAAAGCAAGCTGGAAAAGGAGAGGCAAACTTTGCCAGTGAGGTTAACCTTGGGGCCCATTGAAACTGCATGAGGTTAGCTCAGAGCAGCAGGGTCCCACTTGGAGCAACAGAAAGCCAAATCACAAACCAACACTCAAGCCCACTGGCTCCCCAGACACTAGGTAAGGATATTTTTAGATATGAAACTCAGTCCAGAATCCCAAGGTGAGCCTCTGGGTCTCAGAGACAACTAATCCAATCCCTATCACAGCCTCTGCTTCATGCTCCCCCGACTCCTGCTTGATGGGAAGCTTACTACTGGCAGTGTACCCCGTTTGATTTCTGAGCAAATTTTCTCAAGTGTAAATATTTCTTTCAAAAGTAATCACCTAAAAAATAAAAAAATAAAATAAAAAAAATAAAAAAGTAATCACCATAATGTACACTTGTAAAAATTCCAAGCAACACAATAAAAAAATGTCAAGTAGAAAACAAAAATTTCTCCCATAACCCCACCCCTGAGAAAGTGACTCAGTTTGGAATGAATCTTTACCAATGCTGAAAATGCCAGTATGAATGTATATTTAAATGTACATATGTAAACATATTAATAAATGGACTTAGATAGGCAGTACTGTTCATTGTCCAACTGTCTTACTCAATGATGTAAAATATATCCAGATACCTTTCTGATAAGAGTACATATTAGGTCTATAACATGATTTCCTTTCCTCTTTTTTTTATCCCTCATTTTTTTTTCTCTTTTCCTTTTTATCTTTTCTTTTACAGTTCTTATCTGTTCAGATGGTTTGGGTCAGCAGTTGTCTCTCTTTAAGTGCCACTCTCCCCAATAACATTTTCCCTGATAAATAAGAGATAGGATCACTGTCACATATCTTTGCATGTTGTGCTTAAGCACAGAGCCATTTTCCTATGTAGCGTACAGACTACTCAAGTGTTTTGAACATGGCAAACAGCTGGTCCAGATTAAATTTATAAGGACCTCAATTTCTTTGAGAGCTGTATTCCTAGCACCTGGTATTTATGATAGGCAAATAAACATGAATGAATGAGTAGATATTTGATACATACCTGGTAAATAAGTATGGCACACTATCTGAGGATTTTTTAAAAAGTAAATATTCTAATGTAATTTTTTTGGTCTAACACTAAAATAATTGGTATTAGATAATTGGTCACAGTGTTAAATTTTATAAATACCTGTAGCTAAACATACTTGTTAAATTATGTATCAAGTGTTAAATTTTATAAATACCTATCGCTAAATATACTTGTCATGTATGGCTGTTCTATGCATTCCCCGCCATCATCTCTCCTATGACAATTCTATAAGATAGTAATATTATAACCCCCATTTAGTGAGTATAAAATGAGGCACATAGAGCTTAAGTGATTTGTCCAAGGCCATACAGCTAACATGTGACAGAGACAGGATTTCAAACAAGGCAATCTAGCTACAGAATGCGTGTCCTTAACCAGAATGATGTACTGTCTCTCTAGTGCCCCCTGCAAAACTGGTGCAGTGAACAGTGTCTTTAGACAGTAACTGAGGCTCCCTGATTCCAACCACCATCTCTGGTATCCACCATCTAATCGTGCTCTGTCTCAGAAGCGGAGGACTGAGGCTGGCAACAGAACAGAATCAAAATTTTGGTTTGGGGTTACAAAACAGGCCTTTAAAACTCAGGAGGGGCTTGCAAGTCAGGGTTCTAATTGTAAGAACTAGGCTTTTCAGGAAAATAAAAAAGGGTTTTTGACTACTCAAAGGTTTATGTTACAAACTCTAAAGGAAGAACACGTTGACAGAAGGAACATTTACCTTCCCCAAAGGAGATAAAAGTGTGCCTTTTTATCAAGAGGGAGGAGAGCAGGAAGGAATGGCAAGAGCTTTGATGCTTCTAGGGCCCTGAGAAAGGGTTCTGACCCTCTGTCCCTTCTCTTTTGGCTCACCACTGCAGTCCCTATCCCCAGTCACACTCTGGTCATAGTAATAAATCAATCACTGTGTATTAAACTAGCATTTGAGCTTTACAAACATCATCTCATTAACCGTCACAGCATGTCTGTTAGGTAGGTGCAATTATGATGCCCAACTTACAAAGGTGGAGACCCACCCTAGAAGAAGGAGAAAGACTTGAGCTCAGGTATATCTAAGCCTAATGCATATGGGTCTAAACCAGGGCTCACAATCTATAGCCCGCTGCCTTTCTTGTAAATACCGTGTTAGAGGATTCACAGCTACATCCATTCCATCACTATTGCCTATGGTTGCCTTTACCACAACTATTCAGTTAAGTAGTTGTAATACAGACACTATGTGGCCAACAAAGCCAAAAATATTTATTATCTGGCCCTCTTCAGGAAAAGTTTGCTAACCTCAGGTCTAAATCACCATACCACCCTGCCCGCATGGCCCCACCTCAGATTTTGTACTTGGGAAGTGGTCACAGATTCTCAGATTTGCAAAGTCCACTATCAGATCACAGCACCTCCCTCTGCAGAATGGGTGAGTGGCCTTTCATCCCAGAGTACTTGTGAAGATTCATAAAGAACTGTGCTTGATTAGCACAATGCTGGAGACCTGGTTTCAATCCCTGGGCTGAGAAAATTCCTTGGAGGAGGAAATGGCATCCCTACTCCAGTATTCTTGCCTGGAGAATCCCAGGGAAGAATCCCAGAGAATCCCATAGGAACCTGGCAGGCTACAGTCCATAGGATCGCAACAAGTTGGACAGGACTGAACAACTAACATGAACTAAGAACCTGGATTCACATTAAAATTCTCTAGGGAGTTTTTAAGGTGATAACTGATGCTCCTCTGACCATTTATTAGTTCAAAATTGCTCAAGGTGGGGTCCAGATGTCTGTATGTTTAAAAAGCTCTCCAGGTGATTATTTTAACTTTCTATTTGGAAAATTTTGAACATAAAAACAGAATGGTATGGTACAACATACCCCCACGGTAACTCACCACTCAACCTCAGTTGTCACCCCCAATCATATTATTTATACTCCTGTCAACTCCCTGCCCTGGATTGTTTTGAAGCCAGTCCCATGCATCATACTATTCCATCCATATATATTTCATCATGAATCTCTAAAAGATGAAAGTCTGATAATAAAACATAACTACAACACCACTATCACACTTAACAAAATTCACTCTAATCCTGCATATCATCAAATATCTAGGCAATAAACTACTCTGATTATTCCCTAAGTTTTAGGTTTGTTTGAATCAGAATCCAATTGAGATCCATGTATTGTCATTGACTGTTGGGTCTCTTAAGCCTTCCAGGTAATTCTATCCTGCAGCCTGTGGGTTGAGAACTAAAATAAAAATAAAATAAAATCAATAAAAGAGAGTTGAGGTAAGGATGAAGGCAGAGTGGAGAGTCTGGTTTTCTGGAAAGCTGAGTGATGCATATTATTCAAATCTACACTTCAGCCAAAGGGTTCATTACTGCCACCCAGCCTGAAGTGTGCTTAGTGATCCCCAGAATCCCAGGACCCACAGATAACATGCTACTTGTTAGTCCTGGGGAAGTCTGGTGCAGGGTGATGACTATTAGATGGAACTTTTGTTCTTAGTATTAACTCACCTTTGTCCACTTGGGAAAAAACACAACATAAGAGCTGCGGGTTGAACTTAGTATCTTTTTGAAGACTATAGCCTGGGGAGACAGTCTCTCAGATGGCTATGAGAAACTGCTCAAAAGATGTAAGGGAGGAGGTCAGAATATTTATAATTTTGGTGAAGGGGTACATGTAATCAAACACACAACTTGGTAGAAGGTTGCTATTGGTCATAAGGAACCAATGTCTTAGTTATTGGTTTTAGTGCTTTTCTAAGTATGAGAAAACTCAAGAAATTGGGTTCATAAAAATTTCTCCTAAAAATATTTAACTATTTTGAAGACCTAGTCTGCCAGTTTTCCCAGAGCACAGAGTACTTCATTCTTCATCTTTGCCCTGAACTTCTTTCACAGTGTATTGAAGGTCAGTGACTGCAATGACTAATGACTTAATTCTTGTGGAACCAGATGGTGAGCTCTATTCTTTCATTGGCACCTGTTTGCTTATTTGTTTGTTCATTGATTAATTTACTTTCAAGAGAAACTCTCATCTAAATTTCTCTGTCTAGATGAAGACATTAAAGTGCTAGAGAGTTAAGTTTTATTTTACAGGTAATCACCAGAATAACCCCTTATCTATTATGTAAACATAAGACAGAGAGAGCCACCCAGAGCCTTTCTGTAACTGACCATTTGGTGACCCCTTCCAAACCCCTTGGCACCCAAAATCTCTTGTTTGGCAGGGGTGGGAGGGATTTGCCAAAGTACCAATGGGTCTTCAGGAAAGAAATCTCAAGATTGGAGGTTGCTAGACTCTCTCTGAGATAGCCAGATGGCTCTTGTCAGAGGGAAGGGAAGCCTGGGCCAGCGGTCTCACCTCAGCTCCAGGACTTGGGAGAACTGTGCCAGCCCTTCTCAAGCCTGTGGGTGACCCAGCAGCCAAGACAGTGGGGACTGTAGGAGCTGCCCTGCACTTTCTCCCCTCACAGGGCTTGGACACAGGATTCCCAGGCATTCCTGAACAATTCATGGGGAAGGAGAAGTGGGAGGCCCCGAAAGGGAGGAGTCAGGTTTCCTGCAAAACTGGACAGGTTGAAACAGGAGTCCCCAAAGGCTTTCAGTGCCCCAGGTCTCACAGGATGGAGCTCAAGCCCCTTGAGCTGAGTGAAAAGCCTTTCACAGTCAGACTTTGCCCACTTCAGTCTTCCTTCCCTCCGGCCTCGCAGAACCAGCCACAAGCCCTGTTCATTCATTCATCCACCCACTCACTCATTCATTTGTTTTGTTCATTCATCAGATATTTTTTAAGGCCTTCGTGTGTGCTGAGTACTGTTCTACGTACAGAAGTGAACAAATCAGACAATAGTCCCTGCGTTCACGGAGCTTATATTCTAGAAGAGGGAAAAAGCGAATGAGACAGAAAGAATACGGAGCATATCACATGCTGGTAAAGCACTAAGGAGAAAAGTCAGTCAGAGAAGATCTGAAAGGGATAAAGGTGTGGGGGGCTGTTGACATTTCAAATAGGGCCACATGGAAAGCATCACTCAGAAGTTGACATTTTCTGAAAGAAGCAAAGAAGTGAACTATTTGCATTTCTGGGAGCAGGCTGTGGCGTGGCAGGGAGAGTAGTCTCTCTCTCTCTCTGTCTCCCTCTTGTGCCCTCTCTTGAGACTCACTGTGGCCATGGCTCTGTCCTACCTCATCACAGGGCTCCCCTCAAACTCTGGACCCCATTCTGGCTCAACCCCAGGCACTAGTCCCCGCCGTGTGCCGAGGTCCCTCTGTTCTCTGGGCCTGTGGACCTCAGTTCTCCCAGCGCCTGCCCTTCTGACCGGGCATCCCTGTCGCCCACTCTGTGTCCCCTCAGGCACCATCTGCCCAAGCCCCACAGATTCCAGCCTCCCTCCCCCGTACCCGACTCGAGGAGAGTGCCGTGATAGGAAATGTTTATTAAAAAGAACAAGAATAGCTCCCATGGAGGGGCTTGCTACCCCGCAGCTGGTGCGCTGAGCGCTGTTGTGTGTGTGTTGTCTCCACCAGCATTCCCAGAGAGGCCGCTCATCCCCGTACTGTCGGCCCTCGTCCAGTTGGAGCAGTATCCTCCTGTCTGATCCTTCTACTTATTCTCTTTACCTCCCCTCATCCAGTTCCCTCACAGCAGTTATCGATTTTCTTTTTAAACATAATGCAGATCACATTGCTTTGTGGACCTTACTGAAAGGTCCTCGGCTGGCTGGCCTGGACAATCCCACCACGCGTCTGTCCCCTCAGGCCCCTCAGGCCAACTCCGGCCTCCGTAGCTCTTTTTCCCTCTGACACCAACCCTCCATTTTCCACTCCCATTCACAGGGCACCAGCCACGTTGCTTTCCTTTCCTCTCCTCAAACACACCCTGCTTCCAGGCCTTTGCCTTGGCCTGAAATCCCTCAACCTGATCTCCATTCAGCCTTTTCTGAAGGGTCCGGGTGCAAGCAACAGCAACTCAGAAGGGTCTCCACAGGCCACTCTGTCTCCCCAAACCCCAACTTTGAGCACTCTTGGTCACATCACAACAGTTTGCTTCAAATTTTCTATTTCTACTTCCCACAACATCTTGTTTATATTTCTAACTTTTTAATGTAAGTGCCATTGTTCACGGCTGTGGCTGTTTCCCCTCCTCCTAGAATGGTGTCGGGCCAAGATTTGGAGCTCAAGGAATTTGAATTAATGAATGAATAAATAAGCTAATTTAATTCTCACGCAAACCCCATAAGTCTGTTTCAGTGGTTCTCAGCCATGACTGTGCACTTCAGTCTCCCAGAGTGCTTAAAAAGAATGCTGATGCTTTAACTCAAACATATTGGATTCAATTTCACTGATCTGGGGTAGGGTGAGTCTGGGCATCTTTTCTTTTTAAGCCCTCTTGGTCATCTTAGTGTGTAACCATTTATGTTAAAACTCACACTTAAAATTATAACCACATTGGCAGAAGGAAGGCTGTCAGGGCAGGGCCCTTCAGTCAGAACTGCCATTTTCACTCAAGTTCATACCTGAAGGATGCCTGGTTTCTCTCAGGCCCACTGGGGCTGAGCCAGGGCCGGGTCAAAGAACTATTCTGCCCTTGAGGAGGGCAGTCGTGGGCTGAAGAGTAGGCTCCTGACTTCTCTTTGTGACCAGAGCAGGACCCAAAAGCAGCTGAGTGTTCTGAAAATTAATGAATGAATAAATAAGCTAATTTAATTCTCACGCAAACCCCACAAGTCTGTTTCAGTGGTTCTCAGCCATGACTGTGCATTTCAGTCTCCCAGAGCGCTTAAAAAGAATGCTGATGCTTTAACTCAAACACATTGGATTCACTTTCATTGATCTGGGGTGGGGTGAGTCTGGGCATCTTTTCTTTTTAAGCCCTCTTGGTCATCTTAGTGTGTAACCATTTATGTTAAAACTCACACTTAAAATTATAGCCACATTGGCAGAAGGAAGGCTGTCAGGGAGGGCCCTTCAGTCAGAACTGCCATTTTCACTCAAGTTCATACCTGAAGGATACCTGGTTTCTCTCAGGCCCACTGGGGCTGAGCCAGGGATGGGACAAAGAACTCTTCTGCCCTTGAGGAGGGCAGTCGTGGGCTGAAGAGTAGGCTCCTGACTTCTCTTTGTGACCAGAGCAGGACCCAAAAGCAGCTGAGTGTTCTGAAGAAATCCAGAGGCAGAAATGGAGCTCCTTCCTGGACTCACTGAGGCCACAGCAGCCGTAGCCGCAGTGTTCTGAGTTCCGGGGTTCTGGAGGGCCAGGGGTGGCCCGGGAGAAGAATAGGGCATTGTTGAGTAAGAGGGGGCCCTCCTCTGCCCATGCTGAGCTGAGGGCTGAAGGTCACAAGAAGGGCCAGAAACAAAACACACTGTGCGGTACTGGGTGTCCCCACCAAAGGTGCCTACAGATTGGAATTTGAATCCCAGCTCCGTTGCTAAGCATCTGTGTGATCTCAGGAGTGTCACTTAGGCTTTCTGGGCTCAGTTTCCTCACCAGTAAAACTGAAACCATTTACCTTAGATTGGGACTTGAACTCCCGTGACCAGCACTCGAACCCAGCCAAAGCCCACAGTAATGAAGCTCAGGTTCTTGATATCTCATCACAGAAACAATTCAGTGAGAGACAAAGTGATAGTTAAGAAGTGGTTTTATTCAGAGAGAAACATACTCCATTGACAAAGTGTGGGGGCATTGCAGAGGGTGAAAACAGGGGCCCCAAAATGTGGTGTGGTTAGCTTTTATGGGCTGGGCAATTTCATAGGCTAATGAGTGGGAGGATTATTCTAACTACTTTGGGGAGGGGGTGGAGATTTCCAGGAGTTGGGCCACTGACCACATTTTGGTTTTGGTGGTGCCTTGAAACTGTCATGGCACCTCTGGGTGTGTTATTTAGCTTGCTGATTGAGGATCAAAGTCAGGTCAAAGTTGACTTGTCTGCCATCTTGGGCCCATTTGATTCTAATTGGTTTATATTATATCCATGGGCTATGTCACTCTTTCAAAAGTTGTGCCCTGCCCCCTTTCTTCTTGTTTCAAAATGACATACAACACCTAGAAAGGTTGTAAGTGTTAGATGAGATGATACCTACAGATAGTACCTGGAAGGCAAGAAACCCTGCCCTGGTAATCACGTACATGTGTATCAAGTCATCACATTGTATGCCTAAGTATATACACTTTCATTTGTCAGTCATACTGAAAGCTCCAGGCTGGACATATACAGTCAGTCAGTCTCCTGAGATAAGAGACAGGTGGGGTCCAGCTGAGGAATTTATAACCAGCCCCCTGTTGACTGGTAAATAGTCAGTCTTAGTCTCTTGTAACAAGACACTTTCCTGTAGCTCAAATGGTAAAGAATCTGCCTGCAATGCAGGAGACCAGGGTTTCATCCCTGGGTCAGGAAGATCCTCTGGTGAAGGGAATGGCAATCCACTCCAGTATTCTTGCTGGGAGAATCCCATAGACAGAGGAGTCTGGTGGGCTACAGTCCATGGGGTTGCAAAAAGTTGACACAACTGAGCAACTAATACACAGGGAGCTAACATCCAACATGCCTTGTAGAGCTATATTAAAAAGCAGAGACATTATTTGCCAACAAAGTTCCATCTAGTCAAAACTATGGTTTTTCCAGTGTATGGGTATGAGAGTTGGATGATAAAGAAAGCTGAGCACCGAAGAATTGATGCTTTTGAACTCTGGTGTTGAAGAAGACTCTTAAGAATCCCTTGGACTTCAAGGAGATCCAACCAGTTTATCCTAAAGGAAATCAGTCCTGAATATTCATTGGAAGGGCTGAAGCTGAAGCTGAAATTCCAATACTTTGCCTACTTGTTGCAAAGAACTGTCTTATTGGAAAAGACCCTGATGCTGGGAAAGATTGATGGCAGGAGAAGGGGATGACAGAGGATGAGATGGTTGGATGGCATCACGGACTCAGTGGACATGAGTTTGAGCCAGCTCCAGTAGTTGATGATGGACAGGGAAGCCTGGAGTGCTACAGTCCATGGGGTCACAAAAAGTCAGATATGACGAAGCGACTGAACTGAACTGGTGTCTCTAGTAAACACCTCAAAGGCATAATCATGGCAAAGACAAAGAGAAGGAAAAAACCTTGTCTGAGTAAAAAAAAGGGAGACCAACATCTGTTGGATTATCGAAAAAGCAAGAAAGTTTCAGAAAAACATCTATTTCTGCTTTATTGACTACACCAAAGCCTTTGACTGGGTGGATCATAATAAACTGGAAAATTCTGAAAGAGATGGGAATACCAGACCACCTAACCTGCCTCTTGAGAAATCTTTATGCAGGTCAGGAAGGAACAGTTAGAACTGGACATGGAACAACAGACTGGTTCCAAATAGGGAAAGGTGTACGTCAAGGTTGTATATTGTCACCCTGCTTATTTAAGTTATATGCATGCAGAGTACATCGTGAGAAATGCTGGGCTGGAAGAAGCACAAGCTGGAATCAAGATTGTTGGGAGAAATATCAATAACCTCAGATATGCAGATGGCACCACCCTTATAGCAGAAAGTGAAGAAGAACTAAAGAACCTCTTGAAGAGAGTGAAATAGGAGAGTGAAAAAATTGGCTTAAAGTTCAACACTGAGAAAACTAAGATCATGACATCTAGTTCCATCAGTTCAGTTCAGTTCAGTCACTCAGTCATGTCCGACTCTTTGCGACCCCATGAATCACAGCATGCCAGGCCTCTCTGTCCATCACCAACTCATTTATTATTTTAATAATAATATTAAAGGTTATTATTTTAAATGTGATAAATAAAATAGATCTTAATGTGATTAAACAAGATTTGATATTACTACACTACCTAATTGAGCCAAGAGTAACCTCCTACTGATCCCTAACATTAAAAGCCAAACAAGTCTGTTCTGTTTAAAGTTCAAAGTTAAATATTTAAGGGTTAGAAAAATTTAACCTGGGATATCTGACCAACAGTTATATTTGGACAGTTACGTCAAAGGGCCTGACTTCCTCAACTCTACCCAAATCTGGGGATCTCAGAGCCCTTTATATAAAANAAACAAGATTTGATATTACTACACTACCTAATTGAGCCAAGAGTAACCTCCTACTGATCCCTAACATTAAAAGCCAAACAAGTCTGTTCTGTTTAAAGTTCAAAGTTAAATATTTAAGGGTTAGAAAAATTTAACCTGGGATATCTGACCAACAGTTATATTTGGACAGTTACGTCAAAGGGCCTGACTTCCTCAACTCTACCCAAATCTGGGGATCTCAGAGCCTTTTATATAAAAGTAGGTAAAACAAACAGGGAACAAAGAGAAAAAGCTTTCTAAACTCTTGAAGGAGTCTTTGGGCCTAGAAAAGAAAACAGCAGTCTCAAAGGCCCTTGTTGAATCATCAGAGAAAACAAAACCGAACTTTAGGTCCCACCCTGATGCTCCAGGCCGGTTGTATCTATCTGGGACTTATCACTCCCTGCCCAGAAGGCTTATCACCCCCTGCCCAACTACAAATGCCATCTCAAGAATACCCAAAACATCCCACCTGACTAATGTTTCCCTTCCACAAACCTCCCTTTAAATATGAAGCCTCCCTGATCCCCCTTGCCCTCAGTCTGGTCANTGAGTGCAGCACTTTCACAGCATCATCTTTTGGGATTTGAAATAACTCAACTGGAATTCCATCACCTCCACTAGCTTTGTTTGTAGTGATGTTTCCTAAGGCCCACTTGACTTCACATTCCAGGATGTCTGACTCTAGGTGAGTGATCACACCATTGTGATTATCTGGGTCATGAATATCTTTTTTGTACACTTCTTCTGTGTATCCTTGCCACCTCTTCTTAATATCTTCTGCTTCTCTTAGGTCCATACCATTTCTGTCCTTTATTGAGCCCATCATTGCACGATATTTTCCCTTGGTATCTCTAATTTTCTTGAAGAGATCTCTCGTCTTTCCTGTACTATTATTTTCCTCTATTTTTTTGCACTGACACTGAGTAAGGCTTTCTTAGCTCTCCTTGTTATTCTTTGGAACCTTGCATTCATATGGGTACATCTTTCTTTTTCTCTTTTGCTTTTCACTTCTCTTCTTTTCACAGCTATTTGTAAGGCCTCCTCAGACAGCCATTTTGCTTTTTTTCCCATTTCTTTTTCTGGGGGATGGTCTTGACCACTGCCTCCTGTACAAAGTCATGAACCACTATCCATAGTTGATCAGGCACTCTGTCTATCAAATCTAATCCTTTAAATCTATTTCTCACTTCTACTCTATAATCCTAACGGATTTGATTTAAGTCATATCTGAATGGTCTAGTGGTTTTCCCTACATTCTTCAATTTCAGTCTGAATTTGGCAAGAAAGAGTTCATGATCTGAGCCATAGTCAGCTCCCGGTCTTCTTTCTGCTGACTGTATAGAGCTTCTCAATTTTGGCTGCCAAAAATATAAGCAATTTGCTTTCAGTGTTGACCATCTCGTGATGTCCATGTGTAGAGTCTTCTCTTGTGTTGCTAGAAGATGGTGTTTGCTATGACCACTGCGTTCTCTTGGCAAAACTCTATTAGCCTTTCATTCTGCACTTGAAGTAGAAATTTGTCTGTAATCCAGGTGTTTCTTGACTTCCTACTTTTTCACTCCAGTCCCCTACAATGAAAAGGGCATCTTTCTGGGGTGTTAGTTCTACAAGATCTTGCAGGTCTTCTTAGTACTGTTCAGCTTCAGGTTCTTCAGCATTACTGGTCAGGGCATAGACTTGGATTATTGTGATATTGAATGGTTTGTCTTGGAAGCCAACAGAGATCATTCTGTCATTTTTGAGATCGCATCCAAGCACTGCATTTTGGCCTCTTTTGTTGCCTATTATGGCTACTTCATTTCTTCTAAGGAATTCTTGCCCACAGTAGTAGATATAATGGTCATCTCAATTAAAGTCACCCAGTCCCATCAATTTTAGTCCACTGATTCCTAAAATGTCTATGTTCACTCTTGCCATCTCCTGTTTGACCACTTCCAATTTGCCTTGATTCATGGACCTAACATTCCAGGTTCCTATGCAATATTGCTCTGTACAGTATCAGACCTTGCTTCTATCACCAGTCACATCCACAATTGGGGGTTATTTTTGCTTTGGCTCCATCTCTCCATTCTTTCTGGAGTTATTTCTCCACTGCTCTCCAGTAGCATATTAGACACCTACCGACCTGGGGAGTTTATCTTTCAGTGTCCCATCTTTTTGTCTTTTTATACTTTTTATGGGGTTCTCAAGGCAGGAATAGTTAAGCGGTGTGCCATTCCCTTCTCCAGTGGACCACATTTTGTCAGAACTGTCCCATGACCTGTCAGTCTTGGGTGGCCCTACAGGGCATGGCTCATAGCTTCATTGATTTAGAC